CAAGAATACTGTGGGAGACCATATCAAAAGCTTTACTAAAGTCAAGGTATAGGAAGTAAAGTCAAGGTGATCAACTCACCCCTTTAACCTTCTCTTTGCTAAACTAAATAGATTGAGTTCTTTGTGTCTTTCAGAATAAGGCAGGTTTTCTAATCCTTTAATCATTCTCAAGGCTCTTCTCTGACCCCTCTCCAATTTATCAATATCCTTCCTGAACTCTGGGTACCAGAACTGGACACAGGATTCCAGTAACAATTGCACCAGTGCCAAACACAGGTAAAATAACCTCTCAATTCCTACTTGCAATTTCTCTGTTTCTGCATCCCAGGATTGCATTAGCTCTTTTGGCCACAGCATCACACTGGGAGCTCATGTTCCGCTGATTGTCCATCTGTTCCCCAAATCATTTTCAGAGTAACTGCTTCCAGGATAGAGTGCCCCACCCGTAAGTCTGGACTACGTGCTTCATTCCTAGATGTATACTATTACATTTAGCTTTATTACAATGCATATATTTTGCTTGTGCCCATATCACCAAGAGATCTAGAGCCCTCTGAATCAGTGACTTGTCCTCTTCATTATTTATCACACCTCAAATTTTTGCTTCATCTGCAAATTTTATCAGTGATCATTTTATGTTTTCTTGCAGGTCATTGATAAAAATGTTAAATAGTGTAGGGCCAAGAACAGATCCCTGCAGGACTCCACTGGAAACAGATCCACTTGAAGACAATTCCCTGTTTACACTTACATTTTGAGACCTATCAGTTAGCCAATATTTAATCCATTTGATATGTGCCATGTTAATTTTATGTCATTCTAGTTTTTTAATCAAAATGTCGTGTGGTACCAAATCAAACGCCTTACAGATGTCTAAGTATATTATGTCAACATTATTACCTTTATTAATCAAACTTGTGATCTCATAAAAAAAAAATCAAGTTAGTTTGACAGGATGTATTTTCCATAAACCCTTGTTGATTTGCATTAATTACATCACCCTCCTTTAATTCTTTATTCAGTGAGTCCTATATCAGCTGCTCCATTATCTTGCCTTTGATCAATGTCAGGTTGACAGGCCTGGTCATCCCATTTACCCTTTTTAAATACTGGCACACCATTAGCTTTCTTCCAGTCTTCTGGAACTTCCCCAGTGCTCCAAGACTTATTGAAAATCAGCATTTCCACTCCAGCAAGCTCCTCAGCCAGCTCTTTAAAAACTTCTGGATGCAAGTTAACTGGACCTGTTGATTTAAATATGTCTGACTTTAGTAGCTTCTGTTTAACATCCTCCAGAGATACTAGTGGAATGGAAAGAGTGTTATCAACACCATATGATGAGACTATATCATCTGTTTTTTATCCCAAATACAGAACAGAAATAGTTATTGAACACTTCTGCCTTTTCTGCATTATTATTGATAATTCTACCATTTCCATCTAGTAATGGACCAATATCATTGTCAGGATTTCTTTTGTCCATAGATTTTTCCTTGTGTCCCTTTGCTTCCCTTATCAATTTTCTTCAATTCCTAACTTATGATTTATATTCATTACTATCATCTTCCCCTTTCGTTCATTTGTTATATATTATTATTTTTTATAGCTGCCTTCATGTCTCCTCTAAACCAAATTGTTTTTATAACCAGCACATGTTATGGGATTGCTCTGTGAGCCATCGAGATATTCAGGCTGATTTCTTTCTCTCCACCAAGGTGGAACTGTAGGCTGGCCATACCATCCTAGGCCTGACCAATCCATTTTGGAAACTGAAATCCACTGGAAAGCTTTGGTTGGGTAGAGCTCTGACCAGAGCCAAACATCTAATTCTGCAATAGTAGAAGTCCCAAGTGAGTCCAGCTACTGGAGACTGGTACTCTAGTGAGCCTGGAAGCAATGGAACAAATCACATTTTGCAGTAGAAACAACCACTATAAGTTGGTAGATATCAGATTCCCATTTTTTGGAAGTACTGGAACAATCAATTCAATTCCCCGCTGGGTAACCTTGTTCACGGTGGCCCCTGAGACCCTAGACCCCTCCCAGCTCCTCAGACCTGCTGCACTTTCTTTCTCCTTTTCCCTGCATTCCTCTCTGTCCTATCATTCCTCTCCCGTTCTCTTTAACTTACCTTTTTCACTTTTCTTTGGTCCTCTTTTCACTCTCAACACTTTGCTTTCTCTTCTGCTTGGCATTTTCTTTCCTAAAAGGGAATAATTCTGGAGATTAGTTTATGATTTTCCTTTACAAAGGACCTCATACTGGGGCTGAATTCCAAAATGACCATTATTACCAAATTGTACAGGCAAAGTGCTTTAATCGGTTAATAATTGTATTTATTATAGTTATAGTATTTTTATAAATAAGTATATTTGTTATCGTATTCTTTGCCCTTAATAATAAAGAAGTCTGGTCTTATCTACCTTGCTTTCTAATCTGATAATGGCTCCACATTAGATGCCTTTTGTGTCTTTGATATCTTTGTTATCTTTATTGGCTGTGTTAAAATAAACAATAA